GACCTGTGAAACCAAGCTGAAGCCCATCTAACCTACACTATTCCATTATCATGCATATGTTTATCCAATGACCATTTAAATGCCCTTAAATTTGGTGAGTCTACTACTTTTGCAGGCAGGGTATTCAGTCTTGGTTTTGTTTGTAGATATGCGGAAGCATGGGGCAGTGGAGTAAGGAAATCATGCTTCAAAAGGAAAGGGATGAAAACTATAAAACTGAGCTCATGATACTGCATAAACCAGTCATCAACAAACAGAATGTTTGTTTGTTTGTTTGTTTGTAATGGCAAAACAACCAATTACAGAACAATTATATAGCAAACATTTAAAAAAAAAACCCCATTAATTTCAAGACTTCTTAAAGATATATATTCTGGAGATGTGGGCACCACTGGAAAGGCCAGCCTTTGGCCACCCCTAATTGCCCTTCAGAAAATGGTGGTGAGTTAAAATAGGGTAATGTTGCAAAGTATTTTGTAAAGCTCTGACCAAGTCGTTTTCTTTGCTTGGCACGTATATAATCCAGTAAAGGCATGTTTTGTTAGCATGGACTTCTTTGTTATATGCACTAACTGCATTGAATGCTGAGGCCACCGCAGTTATCTTCTGCAAATGCCTTGGTGCACAATGTTGACAATAACAGAAGGTGAACGAAGGGAAAATTAATTTTTCCATCGAAACAACAAGGTATAATAATCCCATCCATTTCATTTAGCCTAGAAGCATTTGCATTTTAGTACAGATCATAAAAAGTGTGAAAGTTACATAATTCCTTGTCACTGAAAATTATCTGACATTTTTGTCCTCCACTATTAATTTTTGGACCTTGTCTTTAGCCATGTCACCCTGGCACATTACAGTGGGTCTAGAGTCACACGTGGGCCAGATCGAGTAAATACAGCAGATTTGCTGCCCTAAAATGGACATATGTTGTAATGACAGTTGCTGATAGTTTCAGTAATGGTGTCAGGAAAGTAGCTTTCAGTTCCAAATTTGAGTTATATGACAGTGTGATTTTAACCTTTATCACCCGAGCAATGGTCCCTGAGCCTGTGCATATCTGGTGCAGTGGTGTTACCACTATGATACTGTCTGCTCTAGAGCAGTGTTGAAATTATGGGAAAAGGTCATGCACAAGACACCAGAGTTGAAGGAAGTTTTGAAGGTTTGGAACAGTCAGGTGGGACATTAATATTAATAGAAGTGATCCTAATATGAGAGTTTTGCTGCACTTCATCCGTTGTTTTCCCTTTGGCTGTTTAGCTGCCCTTTGAGTGCTCCATGCTACATATAGCTGTAGAAATGTGTTGATTTGTTTTGCTTTGGTTTAAGTGAGGGTGACATGACAAATGCCCATTTTGTTCACTTCAGAGAAAGTCTCTACACTGTCTTGTTTACTTTGTGAGATTTTACTGACAGGTTTCATAAGTTTCCATTTTGCCTTCTATCACAGAACCAGAAGAGATGGACTATTCCTCTGAGACCAACCAAGCGTCTCCAGGTACACCATTTTTAAATGATAATACACTTGTGAAGGATCTTTTGAATATTTTACCATGTTAAAGGCACTGTATATAAATACAGGTTGTTGTTCTTGTCAATAATCTGTAGTTCACTGAGTAATGTCACAGTAATGGCAAAAGGCTCCAAGCAAAACTTTTAAGGTGTAGGTTGTTTTGAAGCGAGTCTGGTTTGATGGTGCTTGGTAACTGGGGTCCACAGCACAAACAGCATATACCCTGGATAGTTTGCCATTGAATCTATGTTGCACTTGACCTGGGAGTGCAGACAGTGGTGTGTGCAATTTGCATTGCTGTCCTTCCTAATCTATTGATCACCTGACTCACCCGGTTTTCCAGTGGCCCACCGCAAGTTTATTAACACCACAGTCCACATCCTGCCAGGAGGAGGAGGAGAAAAATCCAGCATGAGATTCCTTTTGTAGAGTCTGCTTTTGCTTCATTCAAGTGTGGTAGAAATTACTATTCCTGTTTGTCAGTAGTATGACAGTCAGTGGGTTACAGACTGAGTATTTTTTTGTTTCATTTATTCTCTTACTGTTGCATATTTTCATGATGGTAGCAGAAGCTGAGTTTCTAAGTCAGGAAATCAAAATTGGCCCCATTCAATTGGTTTTTTACAAGTAGCTCTTATGGATTAATCTTGTGCGTTTCCTCCTGCTTCTCATTATGGATATGTGTTCATTCTCAATTAGGTGGATGAATGTACTCCTTGGTAACATTATGAAGCAATGTATATAATTAATAGCACAGAAATGGCCCATTTGTCTCTATCAGTCTATTGCCAGAGTTTGTGCTCTACAGAAGCTTCTTCACACTTGATGTCCTCTCCTCCTTTTGAACATGATATTCTATTCCTTTTTCTGTCTTCTCCTTTACATCTTTGCTATTTGTCTTAACCCCACTTCTTGCCACTCTCTGTATAATGAAGTTTTGTTTGAATTTCTAATTTATTTGTGTCTCTGTCCTTTGCAACTCCTGGTTTCAAACACCTCCACAAACGTCTTCAGTACATCTAACCTATCAAACGCGTTCATAATTTTAATGACTTCTATCAAGTGACCTCTCAGCCATCTCTTCTCTACAGAGGAGAGCCACAACCTCTTTAGGCTTTCCTAATAAGTATATCCTTTCTGTTCTGGTATTGTACTTATGAATCTTTTTATCCCCAGTGTTTGAATATACTTTATCTTTTGGAGGCCAGAGTAGTGTGTTCTAACTAAGATTTGACACAAATTCAACAAGTCGTCTGCTTTTTACTTCTGTTCCTCTTTTAGTGAGCCCCAGAGTTTGGATTTTTTAAATGGCACTTTTAACGTGATGTTGCTACTTTTGGAAATTTATGTATAATGTATTCTAAGATCACTTTGCTCCTCTGCCCAATTTGAAATCTTATTATCCATTAGCATTAAATTGGGAAGATCTTATAAATCAGAGTAGAGACCAGGCAAGAGAGAGTTATTAATATGGGAAATGATAAACATTCTGTTAAAAGTGTTAATATATCATTAATTATATTGTTAATTTGTTAATGTCTTTATTTAAGGTTAAGAAGGAACAGATAATGGGTATTAATTGCCTGAGTGCACATATATATGTGGGGGTGCATCTGTAACATTATAGGTCATTAACTACTCAGTCTTAATTCCCTATGAACAAAGGAAGGTGTCTTGGGTTTCTACCACATTGACTGGTTTGGATCCAAATTGACAACAGGCAGAGATAGAGAGCACAAACCTAAGAGTAAATCAACACAGCTAGAGATTACAAAAAGAAGAAAAGGACAAAACTGAAGACTCTGTATCAGAATACACATAGTATTCAAAACAAAACTGATGGTGCAAATAGAAATAAATATGATCTGACAGCTTTTACAGAGACTTAGCTGCAGAATAAACTAGACTGGGACCTGAATATTGAAAGGTAAGTGACAATTAGGAAGAATTGAAAGCCAGGAAAAGGGAGAGGAGTGGCTCTTTTAATTTAATGATGTTAGCGCAATAGAGAGGTATGAACTGAGCTCAGGAAACTAGGACAGAGAAGTGGTTTGAGTAGAGATGAGAAATGAAGAAGTCACTTGTAAGATTAATGTACAGGCCCATTAATAGTAACTGCATGGTAGATGGAATATAAAGGAAAAAATAAGGGAGCTTGTCGGAAAAATAAGCAATGATCATGGGAGATTTTAATTGGAATTAATGACTTCATAGCAAAGACGCCCCGAGGTTGCAACCACCAAAATATGATTGAATGTTTTATTTGAAGGAGAGAACAATGGGTCCAAAACTCTTATTTTTATGTTAACTGAGTGCATGAAAGCAGAGGGAACTAAAGTGAGCTACCAAATTAAGTTGAGGGATGTGGTTGACATTTAAATGGATATTTCAGAATATATAGAATAAGTACGTTACAACATGACTTTTTGAAAAATGATGAGAGAAACCACCATCAGATTAACTACTTAAAGATGATATCAAATCTGAAGAAAAATCAGCCAGTCATTAGTTATGCTAATAAAATGTTGCTGTTTATTGCTAGGAAATTGAATACAAAAGTATGGAGTTGTGCATTGGTTTACAGGACATTGGTGAGCTCACATCTGGAATAACGTACATCTGCTTATTTAAAGGAAATGAAAACGTGTTTGAAGCAGTTCAGAGAAAGTTAATCACACTAATAGCTGGAATGGGCAGTTTGCCTTATGAAGAAATGTTAGACAGGCTAGACCTGTATCTGCTGGAGTTTAGCAAAATAAGAGGTAAATTAATTGAAACAAACAGAATATAAACATATAAGAAACATATAATTAAAAGTAAAGCCTTGGGTAGTGTTGTAGAACAGAGAACTGGGGGGTCGAAGTAGATCATTCTTTTGAAGTTAGTGTCATATAGATAGTGGCTAAGAAGGGTTTAGCACGCTTGCCTTCATTGCTCAAACCTTTTGTGTGTAGGGGTTTGGGACATTATGTTGAGGTTGTAGAAGACGTTGGTAAGGCCTCTGCCGGTGCACTGTGTCCAGTTCTGGTCTCCCTGCTATAGGAAGGATATTATTAAGCTAGGGAGACTTCAGAAGAGATTTATTAGGATGTTGTCAGGAATGGATGGTTTGAGATATAAAATGAGACTGTATAGGCTGGGACATTTTTCACTGAGTACAAGAAGTTGGTGGGGTGACCTTTGTTTATGGTGGTTTATAAATTCATGAGGGGTATAGATAAGGTGAATGGCAGGTGTCTTTTCCATAGGGTGGGGGATTTCAAGACTAGGGGACATATTTTTAACGTGAAAGGAGAAAGATTTATAAAAGACATAAGGGACAGATATTTTACACAGTGTAGTTTGTGTGTGGAATGAACTTCCACAAGAAGTGGTGAATGTGGGTGCAGTTATAACATTTAAAAGACAGTTAGATAAGTACATGAATAAGAAATGTTTGGAGGGATATGGACCAAGCTTGGGCAGGTGGGACTAGTTTAGTTTGGGATTATGGACAACATGGACTGATTGAACCGAGAGGTCTGATTCCATGCTGTATGACTTTGACTCTAAGATCTGAATGTTCTTGATGGTAGATGTGAAAAGGATATTTTCTCTTGTGGGAGAATCTAAAGCTAGGGGATTACTGTTTTAAAAATAAGAGGTCACCCGTTTCACAGACAGGAGAGCTTTTTCTCTCAGATGATGGAAAATATTTGGAACTCACTTCCTCAAAAAGGTGAAAGCACAATATTGACATTTTTTAAGCTTGAGCTATCTAGATCCTTGATATGCAAGAAGATGATAGGTTTTTGGGGGTAAGTAGGAATAAGGTGTTAAGGTGTAATCTGATCAGCCATGACCTTATTGAATGGCATATCAGGCTTGAGGAGCTAAGTGGCCTATGCTGCTCCTAATTTACATGTATGTATGTTTGTTATACTTCATGTCCACCTACATTGACATCCATTTGTCAAAAATTATCCCATTGTATTCATTAATGTCGTACTGTATTTTGTTGCTGCCTTCCTGAGCTTAACTGTGTACCTTGATACCCCCAATTTGGTATTGTCTCCAAATTTTGAAACTGCTTCTGACTTCCGAATATGTACAATTATTTTAGTTGTAAGCAGTGTTGAGAATTCAGCACCAAATTGCGTTGACCACCATTCTTATTTATTACCAGTTAATTAGCTACCCTTAACCTCTCTTCTCTGTTCTCTGTTGTGAAATGAACTTGTTATCCTTTCTTCTTCTTGTCCCCTGATTCCCCATGTTCTACCTTTAATCACAAATCTGTCAGTTATACAGTACCTTATCAAAAGCCTTTGAGAATCCACATGTATTCTATCTGCTGTATTGCCTCTGTCATTTCTTCCTGTTATTCCTTCAAAGCATTCAATATGTTTAGTCAAGCAAGACTTCTGCTCTTGAAATCTTATTATTCTTATGCTTATTATTCTTTATTTTGTTTTCATTTCCACATATTTCTCAGCATCTTTCAGCCAAGATTCTGTTTCTTTCTACCACTGATGAGCTAACTGATAATTTCTTAATCATCGCTGTCATAATTTTGAAATCCTCTATCTAAGAAAGTGAATATTTGCCATAGAGGGAGTGCAGCAGAAGTTTACAAGATTGATTCTTGACGTGGTTTTTAGTATGAGGAGGGAAGCAGGTTGACTGAGCCTGTATTCACTGGAGTTTAGAAGATTAAGGGGTGGTTCTCATTGAATCATACAAGTCTGACAGGATTGAATGGACTGGATAAAGGGCTGATGTTTCCCATGGCTGGGGGGGTCCAGAACAAGGGTTAATTAATGATGTCAGGCTATGAAGTAGATGATTTTGGACTGAGATGAGAGAATTTTTCACTGAGAGGCGCGTGAACTTTTTGGAATTTTCGACCACAATAGGCTGTGGAGAAGTCATTGAACATATTTATGAAAGAAACAGATTTCTCGAGGTTTAAGGCAAAAAGGGGTGTGAAGAGAGAGTGGGAGTGTGACATTGAGGTAGATGAGTAAGAATGTGTTGGAATAGACTTAATGGGCTAAATGGCCTACTCTTGCTCCTGGTTTTCTACGTTTTAAGTCAGTCCTCTGTCTTTTCTAACACTAATATAAAATATAAGAAATGATGTGTTCCTTCATTACTTGATTAATTGAGTCATAAAAAAACTGATCAAATGGCATGTGGATATTTCTACAGCATTAGTTTTGATTGTGATGTAACTTAAAGTCAAATAGCTTGTTGCACTTGTATGAAATGAAGAGTTTTTTTTGTTATTTGTCCAACTACCAGGTATAATGTGTGATTAGCATTTGGTGGTTGTGTGCCTGTTAATGTTCCCTTTAAAATTTAATGTGTGTGGATGGTTTCTTGAATATGGAAAACCTTTGCATTTTTCTAAGCAGTCATAATGTTCTGTGCAGGACTGGACCTTTTTTTTTGTGGTACCTTCCAATGCATGTACACAATACAGCAGGAATATTGGTATATACCTTTCCCCTCAACCCTTGCGTCAAATGACCCATAGAAACTTCTACTTGGCTCATACTTGGAAGAATGAACATCTCGGTTGAGGTACTAAATGGCAGGCAGGTGCATTTGGTCCTTAGGGCAGTAAAATGTTTCAGCAAGTCTTTGATTGTGCTGTATATGAAGGAGCAAACCTGCCCCCATTACCATTTATTTTTAGCTTTCAATGTTCGTGATTCGATTTCAGATGGGAACCAGTCTGAAGATACCAACGGTCTTTCGGTGTCGCCTCAGAATCCTGCAGATGAAGGTAATGTATTCCACTATCTCAAATAGTCCTTTACGTTGTCTAACCACATTAACTTGTCCCAGTTGGGAAACTCCCTTTTGTTTTCACAACCAGCTCGTAAAGCTCTCTCCAAGTCATTTTTTACAATTACAAAGGATTTGCAGAAATAAAAACAAAACGTTGTTAAATATAAATGCTGCATGTATTGTACAAATATTAGCGTGAATTTGTGAACTCTGACATCATTCCTATTTAAAGAAGTTGCATAGAGATGCTGAACAAGTAAGGGAGGTGAATTTTAATGCACAATATCAGGTCTAATCTGTGAATTACTGCTTCTATTGTCCTCCTGTTAGTTCATTCCCTGACCTGTACTGCCCAATTTCTATTGCTTAAACTTGAGCATTTTATGTCTATTTCACACCTTTGGTACAAATGATATTCAAACTTGGTGTTTTTAATCAACAAAATATATTTTATAAATATCCTTCAAATCTTTTGTCTCACTATTTAATTGTGCCTGCTTCAAGAATTGGTACTTCTTTCTGGTGGTTGAGGAATTCCTTTCATGAAGTATAATCTGCAATAAATAATCTCAAATTTCAGATATGGATTCAGAATCTGAGGTGGAAGTTGAGAGGTTGCAAGAACCCACAAGAGTGTCGACGCTTCAAACATTTTCTGGTAATGCTTCCTTTAATTTGTAATGTGTAAAATGTCACCATGCCGTTTTTGTAGGCAGTTGCCTGTCTCTGAGAGAAGTCTAAGTTTGGACAAGTAATAATGGATTCTAAATGTTGACCGAGCCAGCACCACCCACATCCTAAGAATGAATATTTGAAAACAGACCAGGTATTGACGTACTGTCAGGCTGATGACCCACTCAAGCCTGGTCTGTTTTTCTCGTTTGTTTGGTGTTCTGTATTGATATGCTGTAAATTGTTCAGTTCAGCATTCCGATAGAGAGCTCAGTTATAGTGCTGCGAGTCTATTGCTCAACTTGAACAACAAATTACTTTTTGTTATTAATTGTACTAGTGCTGAAACTAAACATGGTTTTTACTTTATTCTCACTTCCTCATTTGGAAGGTATTAGCAAGTGCCACAGTCTAGCCAGGGAATGATACGAGAAAGTTATTACCCTTCTAATCGTTTGGTTGTGTTTCTTCTTGAAACTACTAGGCTGTTATTATTTATATTGTGTCTCTAATGCATCAACAGTAGTTTTCTTTTGTACATGCTTGACATGAAAAAATGTCAAGGATGTGATGGAATGTGCATTTTCACCATAAGTGTTCAAGGCTTAGTCTTTTCTGTGACTGCGAAGCAGAGTGCAACTGTTTGTCTGAAGAAGAAAATTGGAGATACTTTAAGAAAGGTCACGTTTACAGAGATGTTGAAATTTAGTAGTACTGATCAGCACAATGCTAAACTTGCACTGAAAGTAGTGTTTTTCACGTATCATCTCATAAAACCCTGTCAACTGAGAGAGAGTACATGAGAGGGAGAGACAAGAAAATGTAATTTTGGGTTACGAGAATTTGAGCGTGATGAATGAGTGCAGAGTAAATTGGTTTGTTGCGGTTTTCAGGATATTGAGGGGTAGAAAAAGATGGGACTTGAATTTATGTAAAATCTCCATGTTCTTGGGTTGTTCCAAGTTGCATGTTTATGGTTAAATGTTTTTTTAATTTTAAAATTTTGTCACAAATGCTTTGGTGGGCAAATGAAACAATCAGGTCTGACAAAAAGCAAGTATAATAAATAAGCCCTTACTGCAGAAAGAGGCAGCTGTTCTGTTGAAACGGGCTCCACTTAAATTGTGCTGGGGCCTGGTGAATTGTATAACTAGTGCTTCAAACTAAATAGTGGGTGGAAGGGTTCAGTTGCTTGGTAATTTCTTAAAAATCAAACTGTAAGGAGAAGGTAGGGGTGCATGTTAGTGATGAGACTAGTTGTTACAAGAAAATGGAAAAAAGGGACAGTATGTGTGAACGCCATATTGCATCAAGGAATCGAGGAAATGTAAGGCGGATTGGTGATAGGACGAGGTTAGAAGCTTTGTATCCGAATCCACGTAGCATTCGGACTACAATTTAATTAGTTAACAATGCAAATAGAGACAAATGGTTATGATTAGGTGTCGATAACTGAGACATGGTTACAAGGAGATCAGGACGGAGAGTCGAATATTCAAGGATACTCTGTGTTTCGGAAGGATAGATAGAAAGGAAAGTGAGGTAGTGTAGCTTTATTAATAAAGGAAGAGATTAGTGCGTATTGAGAAATGACTTTGGCACTGGAAGTGAAAACATTGAATCAGTCTGGGTAGAACTGAAAAAACAAGGGGAAGAAGTATCTGGTGTGAGTTATCTATAGGTTCCCTAACAGTAATTCCACAGTTGAACACAATAAAAACTAAGAAATGCTGGGAGGGTTGTAAGAATGATAATCATGGGTGATTTTAATAGGTATATAGACTCGATTTAATCAAGGTGGCAAGGGTAGCCTTGAGGGAGAGTTCATGAAGTGTATTAGAGATTCTTTCTTGGAGCAGTATTTTGGGGAAACCAACCAGGGGACAGGCTATTTTGGATTTAATATTGTGTAATAAGATGGGATTAATTAATGATCTCCAAAGTAAAGGATCCTCTTGGGGGGAAAAGTGATCATAGCATGCTAGATTTTCAAATTCAGTTGGAAGATGAGAATCTAGAGTCCTGTATTACTGTTCTGGTGTTAAACAAAGGTAAGTACATAGGCATAAGGACAAATTTGGTCCTAATGGACTGGGCAGAATAAACACAAGACAGTTAATGAACAGTGGCAGATATTTAAGGAAATATTTGCTTCATTGCAGCTAAAATATAATCTAAGAGATGGATAAAGCATCCATGGGTAAGCAAGGAAGTTAAAGATAAAATAAGGGCAAAACTAAGACATACCATCTTGTAAAGGCCAGTGGTAGGCTGGAGGATTGGGAAACTTTTAAAGACCAACAAGAGTTATTAATAAAGTAATACAATGAGCTAAGGTTAAGTATGAAAGAAGACCAATGCAAAATATTAAAAACAGATAGCAATTTCTTCTGTTAGTATATAAACAAAAGAAGAGAATCGCTAAAATGTATGTGGTACCTTAGTGGACCAGAGAGTTAATTTAGGGTCTCTGGAATTTCTGTTTCCTAAATCAATATTTTGCCTCAGTGTTCATGGTGGAGGCTACTGAAACTATCCCAATTGTAATAGGTAATGGAGAGGTTGTAGAAAAGAAGGATCTTAAAACAATCGCCATCAATAGGGGGAAAAAGTACTGCGTAAACTATTGAGATTAAAGGCAGAAAAGTCTCCAGGGCCTGATGGCCTTAAAGAAGGTCACAGCAGAGATAGTGGATGTATTAGTTATAATATTCCAAATTTCCCTGGATTCTGGAAAAGTTGCAGTTGATTGAAAAAATGCTACTGTAATTCCCTTTTAAGGGAGGGAGGCAGAAAGTAGGAAACTATAGGCCAATTAGTTTAACATCTGTGTTTGGGGAAAATGTTGACATCTGTTATTAATGGAGTAGTAATAGGACATTTGAAAAGTCAAAAATCTATCTGAGCTAGCGTGGTTTTATGATTGGTAAATCAAGTTTGATTTTACTCGAGTTCTTCAGAGACAGAACAAACAAAGTGGATAATGATGGTCCTGTAGATATAGAATATCTGGATTTCGGAAGGGGTTTGATAAAGTGCTGCACAAAAGGTTACTACACAAGGTAAAATCACGGAGTTAGAGGTAATAAATTAATTTCTATAGAGGATTGACTAACCAATGGAAGCAGAGAGCTGGGATAAGTGTGTGTTTTTCTGGGTGGCAGGTTGCAACTAGTGGGATGCCACAGGGCTTGAGGCTTGGGGGCCCAACTATTTACAATCTATATTAATGACTTGGATGCAGAGATAGAATATTCTATGTTGAAGATGAGGCGAAAATACATGGGAAAGTAAGCTGCAAAGAAAAACTAAGAAGCTTATAAATGGATGTTAGGTGAATGTGTCAAATGGAATTTAACATGGAAGAGTGTGAGGTTGTCCATTTTAGATAGGAAGAATAAAAAAAAACAACTTTATCTAAATGGAGAGAAACTTCAGAGTACTTTGGTGCAGAGGGATCTGGGTGTCTTAATGCATGAGTCACAGAAAATCAGTATGCAGGAAATGCAGGTAATAAGGAGAGAAATGGAATTTTGGTGTTTATTGCTACAAGAATAGAATAAAGAAGTAGGGAAATGTTGCTGCAACTCTACAAACACCTGAAGTATTGCATACTGTTTTGGTCCTTTTACTTAAGGAGTGATGTAGTTACACTGGAGGCAGTTGAGAGGAGATTCACTAGATTGATGCCAGAGATGAGGGGCTTGTCTTATGAAGATAAATTGAGCCAGTTAGGCCTCTGCTCTCTGGGGTTTGGAAGAATGATGGATGCTGGGACGTTGAGTAAATTTTAAGGAGGATAGAGAGATTTTTTTTTTAAATTCGTAATGTGTTGAATGGTTATTGGGAGCAGGGAGGAAAGTAAAGTTGAAACCAAAATGAAATACGCCATGATCGTATTGAATGGTGGAGTAGGTTTGAGGGCCTGAATTGTCTACTACTCCTCTCAGTTATTATGTTCTATGGACATGGATACCACAATTTTGATATCCATTTTGTATTTCCATTTATTAGGTATACTCCTAAAGGAACAGGTGTGACCCTTGAGGGCTATATTCCCTAGGGCTTGGGAAGAAGTGTGCTGTGAGCATGTTTCCTCTGGCATGTGTAGAATTAGTGCTCATAGATTCAGAATAAGGAGCTGGTCATTTAGGACGCTGGATGAAAAATTTCTTCACTCAAATGGTTGTGAATATTTGGAATTCTGTACCCAGAGCACTATGAATTCAGCATGTTTAAAACCGAGACCGATAGAGTTTTGAGTTCTAAGAGAAACGGACAAGTGCAAAAGTAGAGTTGAGGTAGATAAGCCACGATCTTATTTAATCGGGTAGCAGTACTGAAGATTGAACTCCCTACTTTTTTAAAAAAAAAAAAAATTATGTTCTTCAGGAAAGGAACATTTACATTTATTGTGTTAGTGCAGTACATGTTTTATTGTTATTTGAGAAATCTGTGTATGATATGCTGTTGAAAGTTTTGGTCAAAAGAGCACCAGCAGCACATGAACAGGTTTTACTCTTGGGCATATTATGATTTTTTTTTTTTCTTTGCAGGCCCATTTCCTTCAACTGGCAATACGCAAAGAGTACCTGACAGACAGACACCACTATATTCACGCCAAGCCCAAGATAAGTCCAGATCACTTCCATTTTGTCATACAGGTAGATTGTCATTAAAGCTAAATCTTATGCTCCATATTTAAGATCTATGATGATTAGGTGGTGTTGCAACTTTGAATGCTATGGAGAAATTGACTTCTGAGCTAACAGTTTCAGTCTCAACACTTTGGACTTAAGCACCAAGGCACAGAACTTATCTTTGTGCAGTTGATTGGGTCTGCAATTCCTACTTTTCATTAGAATGTGAGAAATAGGAATGGGCCATTTGACCCTTCAAGCATGATCCACCATTCATGAAGATCATAGCTGGGTTTCTTCTTTCGCTGGACTTTTCCACATTATCCCAATTATTCATCAAGAATCTATCAATTTTTGCCTTGAAGACACTCAAAATGTGACCATCCTGAGCTCTCTGGAGGGGTGGGGGGACAGTTTCAAAGGTTAAAATAATGGGGGCGATAGAGGGCTGTTCAGTTGCATGCAAATTATGTAGAGTTGAAGGGGCGAGGAGTAAAGTTTCCAGGAGTAGTAGTAGGACAGAGATTGAAAAGGGTCAGGAATCTAACTTCAGGCAGAGCAGATAAGGGGACAACTATGAGAAGAGGGGCAGTCAAAACAGGCCTGAAGGTGTTGTACTTAAATGCACACAGCATACAAACAAGATAAACAAGCTTGTAGCATGGATTGAAATTGGCAGGTATGATGTTATGGGTATTAGAGATGTGGCTGCAAGGGGATCAGGGCTCGGAACTAAATATCCAAGGATACACATCCTTCTGAAAGGACAGGTCGGTGGGCAGAAGGGATGGGGCTGCCTTGTTTGTAAGAAATTCAATTAAAGCAAAAAGTGACAGAGTCGGAAAGTGTACAATCTGTTGAATAACTGCAAAAGTAAAAAGCCATGATGGGAGTTGTGTACAGGCTTCTTAGCAGTAGTCAGGATGTGGGGAAGAAAATAAATCAGAAGATAGAAAAGGCATGTAAGAAAGGCACAATTGCAATAATCGGGCAGATGGACTGGAAATTCAGGTTGGTAGTGGATCTGAAAGAAAGGAGTTTGTGGAATGTCTGAGATTGGTTTTATGTTTTGGAACAGTTTTTCTCAAAGCTTACGAGGGAACTGACACTTCTGGATTTTAGTGATGTGTAATAAAGTAGACTTGATTAGGGAGTTGAAGGTGAAGGAAGCCCCGAGAGGGTAGTGACCAAAATATGATAGAATTCATTCTGCAATTTGAGAGGGAGAAGCTGGAATCAGATGTAACATTATTACAATCGAGTGAAGGTAACTACAAAGACGACATGAGGGAAGAGCTGGCCAGAGATGATGGAAGTGAAGTGAAATAACTCCACAGAGGCCAGTATCCTGTCACCAAGTTACCCTTTATTTACACACGCATAATACTTCTCACTGGTCTGGCTTCCTCCGAGTCAACAGAACCCCTGACACTCCTGTTTACATCTGTCAGCCAGGGCTCCCCGATTGGGGCTGTTAACATGGTTCAATCAGGGAAATCATATTCTATGATGTCCATCGGTCTGACCTCGTTGCAATCACTACAGGAAGCCTAGCAGGGAAGATGGTAGAACAGCAATGGCAGGAGTTTCTGGGACCAATTCGGGAGGCACAACAGAAATTCATTTGAAGGAAGAAGAAACCTATGAGGGGGAGGATAAGGCAACCATGGCTGACAAGGCAAGTCAAGGACAGCATAAAAGCAAAAGGAAAAACATACAATGTGGTGAAGATGAGTTGGAAATCAGAGGATTGAGAAGGATGTTGACAGTTTTGGGGAAAAGGAAGGAAAGTGGAGTTGAGGATTATCAGATCAATCATGATCTCCTCAAATGATGCAACAGACTCAGTAACTTCTGTTTAGCTACACCACTTTAACTGACCCTTCCTGATCCACTCTGGTTATTTTAACTCTGCTTCATGCATTGACAGGTTATTTGTCCCTTTTTGAATTCGCCTTTCCTGAATTTTCCCCTGAAAGTAGATAATTGTGTTTCAGATGGTTTACAATATTGTAGTTATGTTGAGCATCTCTGATCATCGCCACAGAGTTGTAGCAGCTGACTCTTTTCCTTTGTAATTAATATGAGAGTTGTGTAGTTTTTGGCAGTGAACTAGAATTGTTGGAATTGGAATTCAATGTCTGTCTGACTATCATAAATAAGCAATTGTTGGACAGATTTATATTCATCTCTTATTTTTTCAACATCTTTGTTTCTGAGCCTCCGGGGGTGTTGCTGACCAAGCATCACCGAATACTTGTGAATGAGGCCGTTAGATTTCTCCTGAGAAATGGCAGTGTAACAGCAGCTTTCTAGGTAACTTGACAAGTTGGTACTCTGAGCAACAAAACTACTTAGTCCTGATTTTGAGCTGATCTCAATAAATAGGTAGCAGGAGAGAATTAAAATTGACATCAATTCCTCTGGGTTAGTGAAAAAGGTGAAAACAGCAATTCCTTAGAAAGAGTTTGCACCCATTCGTGTATCAGGGAAGGATTTTCAGGAAAGTTTTTTTGGCACTCATTTCTAATGACTAGGCTCCTCATATTAGCTAGGTGTACTAGTATTCTTGTAATCTGACATAAGAACAATTTGATTTTAATTTGGTGAAGAAGTGCTGATTCAAAAACCATTTGAAAACTTGAAGTTGGAAATTTCATGCATTGCTTTAAAGGAGACATTTTGTTATTGACTTAATGTGTGGGAAAGGAACATTTTGATGGTACCTGTCCTTTTCAGTGTTTTATTCTCTATGGAAATGTATCAGTTTAAGTTTGTGTAACCATCAAACATACCACGATAATGTATACAATGTTCAACTGCTGAAGAGGTCCATGTTCAAATGTAGCAAAAAACTGGACAGTGTTCAGGCTTGAGCCTGATAAGTGGCTGCTGTATAATTTCCTATTCTTCATTTTTGATAGCAGACCATCACCAAGCCACAAGTCAGATCAAGTATCAGACCTACTCTGATGTACAACATGGTGCACCATCTCCCAAGTGGAGATCAGCAGGTAAGTTCTGGGAAAGTCCTTTTTGGAGAGCCTGTCTGTCTGGCTTTGTTGCATTTAATTGGGTTTCACGTTCATTGATGGAAAGACTTGTAAACAATGCCACTGTGCAGAAATGAAGGTCACTTTAAATGTTTTTGAACAATGTGTCTTTTCTTGGTACAGTCCATAAACAGCCAATAAATCAGATTTCATGCAGCGACCTAAATGCAAACAGAAAGAAGCCCTTTTCTCACTCATTGGGTCTCTGAGTTGAATGGAAAGAATTAGTGCTTGAATTCCCTATACAATCCAATCTTCAGTTACCTAGAATTACCAGAAGTGCATGATTGATCTGCTGGAACATCTGTTGGACTTGAAGCTGTCATGATCTTAGTCTTACGATGCATAAGAAATTGGAGCAGGGTAGGCTATTCAGCATTCAAACCTAGTCAGCCATTCAATAACATTGTGTTTTATTCTCATTCTCAATCAGTTCCACTCTGCATTTATTAAGGTGGGATGTTTGCTGATGGTTGCAGTGTTCGGCAATAGTCGCAATTCCTCAGATACTGAAGATATCCATGTTCAAATGTAGAAAGAACTGGACAACATTCAGATTTGAGCTGATAAGTGGCAAGTAAAATTTGAACCACACAAGTACTAGACAATGAACATCTCCAAGAAAGAATTCAACCATCACCCCATGACATTCAATGGTATTACTATTGCTGAATCATCCACTATCAAGAGCAGATCAGAGGTGGGGAATTCTGCATTGAGTAACTCTCCTCCCTTACTCCTTGAAGCCTTTCCATTATCTACAAGACACCGTTCAAGAGTGTGTTGGAATATTCCCTTGTCTGGATGAATGCAGCTCCAACAATACTCAAGAAGTTTGACACCATCCGAGGCACAGCAATCTGCTTGATTGGCATCCAATTTGAAATCTTCAGCATTTATTTACTCTCTACTACCACTGGCAACAGCATGCACCATTTACAAGATGCACTGCAATAACTCACCAAGGCTCCTTAGACAGCACTTTTACCAAATGCAACCCCAACCAACTAGAACAACAAGGGCAGGAACGTTGCTGCCTGCAAGTTTTCCTCCAGGTCACACTTATGTTGACTTGGAACTATATGATCATTCCTTCAATTTCACTGGGTCAGAATCCTGGATCTCCCTCTCCCTCAGCACTGTGGGTGTACTACTCCTCACAGATTTTAGCAATTCAAGAGGGAAGCTCATTACCACCCACCTGAAAGAAAATAGGGATGTATAATAAATGTTCCCTCTTCCCATGAATTATTATTTTAATCAAATAAAAATTGCTCTAGTTATGAAGATTTACTGTACTTTGTTATGTTCGCATTATGTTCGTCTGGTGGGCCATGATTCCAGCTCCGAATTTAAGTGACTTGAAGTGGTTGACTTGCTCGTCGAGCTGGCTGGTTATCGTACAGATGTTTCGTCACCATTCTTGGTAACATCAGTGCGGCCTCCGATGAAGCGATGTTGTTCTACTCAGCTTGGTATTTATATGATCCATGATGCAGTCAACAAGCATGTGGAATTAGACCCAAATAAAAACCCATGCACAACAGAACCGCAAATGACACAACCCAACTTAACAGACCGGATCATATAAAGAAGCGGAGTAGAACAACATCGCTTCATCGGGCGCTGCACTGATGATGTTACTTAGCATGGTGACGTAACTTCTGTACGAAAACCAGCCAGCTCGGAGAACGAGCCAACAACCTCATTCACAATCTGAGCTACAAATCTTTGCAAGAACCCTTTAAATTGAAGTAGCATTGCTATTCACTGAAGATACATTTGGACCAGATAAACTTGAAATCATTTGTATTGAATGGTTTTTGTCTGCTTTAGCTATTCAGAAACCAAGGAACTAGTAACATAGTTGTACATCTAGTGAAGCAGTTATGAGCCCCTCCAGCAAATAGGAGCAAGAAACGATGTCTCCAATAACAAACATGCAAATAAAACGTGAACTTTTCTGTTGGTGAACATATTGGACATACTTTAAACACCTAATATGTAGTTTGCCATAGTATAATTTCCCATTTATCTCTCCTTTTTAAAGCTGACCTTCCTGCCACAAGCCACAGGGAGTACCAGAACTATTCTGATGTACGGCGTAGTGCAAAATCTACCAGGTTGAGACCAGTAGGTAAGTTGGATTAAAGTCCTTTAGAGTACTATCTGACTTTGTTAATAGAGCTTCTAATTCATTTAAGAGAAAGCTTATAAATTACACCACTGTGGAGTTCAGCCGTTGAATAGAATGTGTCTTGGTACAGTCAATAAATGAGATTGCACGCAGCAGCCTAAATGCCAATAGGAAGAATTCCTTTTCTCACTAATTGGATCTCAGATCTCAAGAGTTGAATGGAAAAGAAGAGTGTGTGAACTCCCTAAGCAGCCCAATCTTCAGTTACCTAGAATAAGCAGAAACCAAATGGTCAATTTGCTAGAACACCTGTTGGACTTGTCATGATCTTATCATATGATGCATAAGAAATTGGAGCAGAGTAGGCCATGCAGCCCATCAAACTTACTCAGCATTCCATTGACAGAGTATTAAATTCACTTCCCCACCTAAGCCATCACCTTGATTCCCACGTAGATCAAAGTGTACTGTTTAACTTAGCCTTGAACATATTTGGTGACCCAGCTTCTGCTGCTTTCTGTGCAAAAGCATTCTATAGACTAACAACCCTCTGAAAGAGGACTTTGCTCCTTATATCTGTCTTATAATAGGAGGGCCATTGAGTCATAGAGGTCTACAATAAAGAAAAAGGACCCTTTCGGCCATTGCATCTGTGCTGGGCAAAGATAACCACCTGACTATTCTAATTCTATTTTCCAGCACTTGGTCCAAAGCCCTGTATGCCTTGTCACTGCAAGTGCACATTTGAATACTACTTGATTGTTATGACGGATTCTGCCCATACAACCCTTACAGGCAGTGAGTTCCAGATTTCCACTACCCTCTGGGTGAAAAGATTTTCCTCGCATCTCCTTTTCTAAATCTTCTGCTCCTTACCTTCACTCTGTGCCTCCTGGTCATTGATTGTATCAAGAGGAAAATTTTCTTCCTGTCTATCCTATATGCCCTTTATACTTTTATATATCTCCATCATGCCCGCTCTCTATCTCCTCTACTCGGGCAACATCCCAGTAAATCTCTGCACCCTTTCCAGTGCTATCACATCCCTCCCATTAATGTGGATTCCAGAACTGCAGACAGTACTGTAGCTGTGGCTTAACCAATGTTTTACATTGTTCTAGCATAATCTCCCTGCTCTTAAACTCTGCTAATAAAGGCAAATATACCATATGCCTCCTTAACCACTTCGTCTAGCTGTCCTGATACCTTAAGAGACCAGTGTGTATGCACACCAAGGTCCCTCTGAACCTGATGCTTCCAAAGAACATAAGAACTAGGAGCAGGAATAGGCCATCTGGCCCCTCGAGCCTGCCCCGCCATTTAATAAGATTATGGCGGATCTTTTTGAGACTCAGCTCCACTTACCCGCCCACTCACCATAACCCTTAATTCCTTTACCGTTCAAAAATTTATCTAGCCTTGCCTTAAAAACATTCAGTGAGGTAGCTTCAACCGCTTCACTAGGCAGGGAATTCCCCAGATTCACAACTCTTTCGGTGAAGAAGTTCCTCCTGACCTCAGTCCTACATCTGTTTCCCTTTATTTTGAGGCGATGCCCTCTAGTCCTAGTTTCACCTGCTAGCGGAAACAACCTCCCTGCCTCCACCTTATCTATTCCCTTCATAATCTTATATGTTTCTATAAGATCTCCCCTCATTCTTCTGAATTCCAATGAGTATAATCCCAGTCTACTCAGTCTGTCCTCATAATCCAACCCTCTGAACTCTGGAGTCAACCGAGTGAATCTCCTCTGCACCCCCTCCAGTGCTAGTATATCTCTTCTCAAATAAGGAGACCAAAAGTGCACACAGTACTCCAGGTGTGGCCTCACCAGGACCCTATACAGCTGCAGCATAGCCTCCCTGTTTTTAAACTCCATCCCTTGAGCAATCGCAGACAAAATTCCATTTGCCTTTTTAATTACCTGCTGCACCTGCAACCTACCTTCAGCGATTTCATGCACAAGGACACCCAAGTCCCTCTGCACAGCAGCGTGCTGCAATTTTTTATCATTTAAAACATAGTCCATTTTGCTGTTATTCCTACCAAAATGGATGACCTCACACTTATCAACATTGTACTCCATTTGCCAGACCTTTGCCCACTCACTTAGACTATCTATATCCCTCTGTAGACTTTCAGTGTCTTCTGCACACTTTGCTCTACCACTCATCTTAGTGTCATCTGCAAATTTTGACACACCACACTTAGTCCCCAACTCCAAATCTTCTATGTAAATTGTAAACAATTGAGGTCCCAACACTGATCCCTGAGGCACACCACTAGCCACTGACCGCCAACCAGAAAAACACCCATTTATCCCTACTCTTTGCCTTCTACTGCTCAACCAATCCTCTATCCATGCCAATACATTACCTGTAATACTGTGCAACTTTATCTTATGTAGCAGCCTTTGGTGTGGCACCTTGTCAAATGCCTTCTGGAAATCCAGATATACCACATCCACAGGTTCCCCACTGTCCACCATACAAGTAATGTCCTCAAAGAATTCCATCAAATTAGTTAAACATGACCTACCCTTCATGAACCCATGTTGGGTGTTCCCAATGGGAGAATTTATATCCGGATGTCTTGCTATTTCTTCCTTAATGATGGATTCAAGCATTTTCCCCCACTACCGAAGTTAAGCTAACTGGCCTATAGTTACCTGCTTTTTGTCTACTTCCTTTTTTAAACAGTGGCGTCACATTGGCTGTTTTCCAAACTGCGGGAGCCACCCCAGAGTCCAGTGAATTTTGGTAAATAATTACTAGTGCATTTGCTATTTTCCCCCATCACCTCTTTTAGTACCCTGGGATGCATCTCATCAGGGCCAGGAGACTTGTCTACCTTTACCCCCGTTAGCTTGCCCAGCACTGCCTCCTTAGTGATAATGATAGTTTCTAGGTCCTCACCTGCTATAACCTTCTTGCCATCAGTTTTCGGCATGTTATTTGTGTCTTCCACTGTGAAGACCGACACGAAATAACTGTTTAATGTCTCAGTTATTTCCTCATTCCCAGTTATTAAATTGGCCTTCTCATCCTCTAAAGGACCAATGTTTACCTTCGTCACTCTTTTACGATTTACATATTTATGGAAACTTTTGCTGCCTGTTTTTATATTCTGAGCTAGGTTACTCTCATAATCTATCTTACTTTTCTTTAAACTTTTTTTGTATCTTTCTGTTGGCCTTTAAAGATTTCCCAGTCTACCAGTTTCCCACTAATCTTTGCTTTTTGTATGTGTTTTCTTTCAATCTGATACTTTCCTTTATTTCCTTAGAGATCCATGGCTGGCTCTCTCTTTTCCTACAGTTCTTCCTTATCACTGGAATATACTTCTGCTGAGCACTGTGAAAAATCGTTTTGAAAGTCCTCCACTGTTCCTCAATTGACCCACCATAAAGTTTTTGCTCCCATTCTGCCTTAGCTAACTCCTTCCTCATTCCTTCATAGTCTCCTTTGTTTAAGCACAGGACATAGGTACTGGATTTAACCTTCTCACGCTCCATCTGTATTTTACATTCGACCATACTGTGATCGCTCCTTCCAAGAGGATCCCTAACTGTGAGATCATTAATTATTCCTGTCTCATTACACGGGACTAGATCTAGGATAGCTTGCTCCCTCGTAGGTTCCATTATGTATTGTTCAAGGAAATTATCGCGGATGCATTCTATGAACCCCTCAAGGCTGCCATGACCGACCTGGTTTGACCAATCGATATGTAGATTAAAATCCCCCATGATAATTGCTGTACCATTTTTACATGCATTAGCTATTTCTATGTTTATTGCCCGCCCCACCACAATGTCATTATTTGGTGGCCTATAGACCACACCTATCAGTGATTTCTTTTCCCTGCTATTCCTAATTTTCACCCAAATGAATTCAACCTTTTGTTCAGTAGAACCTACATCATTCTCACTACCGCCCTGATATCATCCTTAAAAATCAGAGCGACACCACCTCCCCTACCTTCCTGTCTGTCCTTCCGAACAGTTTGATACCCCTGGATATTTAACTCCCAGTCATGACCATCCTGTAACCATGTCTGTGTAATGGCCACTAAATCATACCCATTTGCCATGATTTGCGCCGTCAACTCATCCACCTTGTTTCGAATGCTCCGAGCATTCAGATAAAGTGCCCTTATGCCAGTTTTTGCACCTTCTTTTTGGGTCCTATTACCTCCATTACTAACAGCTCTTGAGTTCTCCTTCCCTTTACCTTTTCTCCTAATTTTCAATGGAGTTGAAGCTTCCTCGTCACCTGCTAACCTGCTGCTTTGCCTTACATTAATTGGTTTTCTCCCTCTATGCTCACTTGTCCCTTCCCTTCACCCCCCCCACTTACTAGTTTAAAGTCCTATTAACCACCCTATTTACCCTTTTTGCCAGAACACTGGACCTGGCCCTGTTCAGGTGGAGTCCATCCCAGCAATATAGATCCCTCCTGTCCCAGAACTGATGCCAGTGCTCAAGCTTCTACTGCTATCATGGATAGATGGACAAAGCAAGAGAATACAAGTATATCATCTTATACTTATCCGGATTGAATTCCATTTGCCACTGATCAGCTCATCAATATCCTCTTGTAGTCTGAGGCTGTCCTCCTCAATATTTGCCACGCCACCAATTTTTTTGAATGTCCTGTGAACATACTCATCAACTGTCCTATATTCACTCATATACACCACAAACAAGAACCCCAACACTGACCTCACTGGGCACAGACTTCCAGTTGAAAAAAAAAATCCCTGAACCATCACCATCTGCTTCCTGCTACTAAGCCAATTGTGGATCCAATTTGCCTAATTTCTGGATGTAGGCTGTTAGCTTTGCCATCAGTCTCCCATTCCTTTATTATAATGGCCCTGACTTTCACTTATTCCTGTTTTTTTACCCCTCAGTTAATTCTTTATTCCAAAACAAAACACACTTAAAATCACAAGCCAGTGAACACACCCCTTTTTTGTGGGTAAATCACCACAAGTTA